TCGGGCCGGGGAGCCTCCAGAAGGCAAGCCGCGGCAAAGATGGGGGGAAACGATCAGCCCCTCGCGGGATTTTGTATTCGCTGACATTTCAGGATGTCCCCAATACAGAAAACGGTAGTCTATCCTGGAGACAGAGGGGCACCGGTTGTGGGCCTGGCTGCATGAGGATCTCCCAGAGATCACCCAAGTGGGCATCAGAGATGTCACAGGCTGTGCCCGAGCAAAAGGGACCCCTTGCAGCCCTGACGTGATGGCTGAACCCCCCGCCCCCATGCTGATTCTCCCAGTTTTTCCAGGCCCGGATTTTCCTGGTCTTGTCTGTGGGGCAGGCCCAGCCTTCACGTCACACGTGAAAATGTGAAAATCCCTGCTAGAGAGTAGTTGCATTTTCCAGAGTCAGTTGTTCACCCCAATGGATTTGCTCTGGCCTTTCTACTCCTTAGTAGAATGGCGTCGCCCTTGATCCAGAGAGAGCTGTGCACCCTTGCTGGAGAGCACGAGCTGTGGTGATCCAGCTATCAAGAAGAGGTATGGGCAGTGCAGCTGGGCGAGGGCACACTGAGTCACCCCTCCCAATGCTGGATTTGAAGAAATGCTGGATGGAGCAGCTTTGCCAGGCTCTGATTCATGGTGGTGCAGGCAGTTGCCCTCCAACCTTGGCGGTTTCAGATGCTTTTTTCCATCATAAAGTTCAGTTGGTGCAGGTGCCCCAAGAACTGAAGATCTGATGGAGAATCTGATAGGTGTAGGTCACACTGAAAGAGAGTTTCAGGGGACTTCAGCCACAAGGACGCAGTCTGTGGTGCCCTTTCAGCCCCGGGGCTGCCCCACATCTCCTGGGCGAAGAGATCTGCACCCTCACTCTCTGAAGGCCTGCCTTGCTTGCTGGCCAGTGGTGCGGCTGGGTGGCTCCCTCTCCAGGGTCCCCCAGTTCTTAGCCCCTTCTGCTCTTTTCTTGTAGGACCTTGGCCTGGAGGGAACGTTTCTCAATGAGGTGCTCTACAAGAAGGCCACCTTCCTCAACCTCGTGGATCCCATCTCCCACGACCTCCTGATGAGCCTGGCCAGAGACCTGCAATGCCCCAAAAAGGTGAGGGCCACTAACACCGCTTTGGAGGTAGCACATGCCCTAAGGCTGCCCGGCTGCTAAAGGCGCCTTCAGCACTTGGGCCGCTGGAGGTCTCTGGGTAGGGAAACGGATCCCCACTTCAGGCAATCCTGCGTAGGCACCTCCTCCAGCAAAGCTTTGCTGCTTTGGAACGGCCTGGAGGGCGCCTCTCCTGAAAGAGCAGGGCCAGGTGGTCACGAGGCACTGATGGCCGACCACAAATGGCCCAGTGCCTGTCCAGCCACAGAAGAGGCCTTGTCTCCCTCACCAGAGCAACGGGCACTGGGGCCTGCCCCCTCTGGTCTGGCCTCAGACAGTGGCACCTGGGCTCTCGTTGCCCTAGGAAGAAGGACAGAAGCAGGGCTGCAGCATCAGGTCATGAGTCACCCCATCTGGGCGTGCACGTGATGTCGCAGCACATGTAGAAAAGGGGCAGGTTTTGTGTTGTGACACTCCTTGCTGGGACCCCACAGATGCTACTTCCTGGGGGCTCATCTTTCTCTCCCCGGCTCTGGAGAGCAGCGCTCAAGCACGTGGCCTAAGTTGGGGGGGGCGTAGATTTCAGCTAGGAAACATCGGGAGGAGCTTTCCAGCAGCAGGAGCAACCAAGGCACTTGCTCACTCTTGCCCTCATCCTGCCTATGCCCTGAGCCAATGGGTTGGATGACATCGAGGGGTGGGGATTAATGCCTTCACACTGTCCTGTCAGCTGCCCCCCCCCAGGCTACCCACGTCTCCCCAAGTCGTCCTCTGCAGAGAACTCACACAGTCTCCAAATGAGGATGGTCGTATGCAGTGAGTAAGTCATCTCAACCAGGAGGTGCCAGCAGGATGCCCAGCCGGGACTCCTGCTTTGCAAATGTGAGGGAACCCCTGGGTCATCTGGGCTGTCACTTTCCTATCCCTGCTCCGTGTCCTTCCACTGGAGGAAACAGTGGTAGAAGTGGGGCTGGCTGGGGGATGAAAAGGGGGGACTTTGGGGCTGGTCTCCAGTTTAGACACTCGCTATTTCTTTATGTTTAAAAATATTCAGATTATCCTGCTCTTCTTTTGAGGGGTACAAAAGTATATTTTGTTTCTATGTGTCATTTTTAACATTTTTATTGTGGTTAGGGACCTCTAAAGTTGGAAATGGCCCGAGGTCTCTGGATCTCTGAGGAGGGCCTGGGTGGAAGAACAGAAAGTACCCCCGGAATCAAGCTCCTCCCAAAAGCTGGCATTCCTGGATAGCTAGGGAGATCCTGCACGGGAGAATATGTGCTGTTGGCGTCTTCCACAAGCGTTTACTTCTTACACAACATGTTGTTGAAGAAGTCTAGGGCCGGGATGAATGCTCCATTGCTGGAGGCGTTGTTGAATGGGAGCAGAGCTGATGGGGCTCTTAGGCCTGTATTTTCAGCCACACCATCTTGTTGCTTTTCAGCAAAGACCCTCATTTTGCCCCCCCC